TTCCCACCCTAGGGTTAGGGTTTGTATGGGTAGGGTACTTGGAGGTAAGGTTATGGTTTGTATGGGTAGCAATTCCCGCCCGAGGAATAGGGTTCCTTTGGGTAGAGTACTAGGAACTAGGGTTAGGTTCCCATGGATAGGGCTCCCCGCCTTATGGTTAGGGTTCTTCTGGGTACAGTACATAGATATAGGGTTAGGGTTCCTATCGGTACGACTCTCAGTCCTAGGGTTAGGGTTCCTATGGGTAGGATACTTGGAGTTAGGGTTCATATGGGTAGGAATCCCCGCCCTAGGGTTAGGATTCCTATGTGCAGAGTACTTGGAGCTAGGTTTAGGGTTCCTATGGATAGGGAAGCCCGCCATAGAGTTAGGGTCCCCATGAGTAAGGCTTCCCACCCTAGGGTTAGGGTTCTTATGGGTAGGGTACTTGGAAGTAGGGTTATGGTTCCTATGGGTAGGGATCCCTGCCCTACAGTTAGGGCTCCTATGGGTAGGGTATTTGGAGCTAGGGTTAAGGTTCCTATCGGTACAGCTCTCAGTCCTAGGGCTAGCATTCCTATGGGTAGGGTTCTTGGAGCTAGGGATAGGGTTCCTATGGGTAGGGTACTTGGAGCTAGGGTTAGGGTTCTTATGGGTAAGGCTCTGCACCCTAGGGTTAGGGTTCCTATGGGTAGGGTACTTGGAGGTAGGGGTAGGGTTCCTATTGGTAGGGTTCTGGGAGGTAGGGTTTGGGCTCCTGTGGGTAAGGTACTTGGAGGTAGGGTTAGGGATCCTGTGGGTAAGGCTCTCCGGCATAGGGTTGGAGTTCCTAAGAGTAGGGCTCCCCATCCTAGGGTTAGGGTTCCTAGGGGTAGGGTATTTGGAGCAAGGATTAATTTTGTTTTGGGGAGGGTACCTGGAGCTAGGGTTAGGATTCCTATGGGTAGGTCTCCCCACCCTTGAGCTAAGGTTCCTATGGATAGGATACCTGGAGCTAGGGTTAGGGTTCCTATTGGTAGGGTTCCCCGCCCTAGGGTTAGGGTTTGTATGGCTAGGACTCCCCGCCCTAGGGTTAGGGTTCCTATGGGTGGGGCTCCCCACCAGTGTTCCCTTTATTTATATCCATGTCTGTAATGAATTTTATGTGCACCAATATGGAGGTGATATGTGGTGGGGGAGGGGAGCGAGGGGTAAGAAGTTGGGAGAGGGCTCAGGGCTGGGGCAGAGGGTTGGGCTGCGGGGGGTGAGGGCTCTGGCTGGGGGTGCAGGCTCTGGGGTGGGGTTGGGGCAGAGGGGTTTAGGGTGCGGGAGTGGGTTCACGGCAGGGACAGAGGGTTGGGTGTAGGCATGAGGGCTCCAGGTAGGGGTGAAGGCTCTGGGGTGGGGCCAGGGATGTGGGATTCAGGGTGTGGGAGGGGGCTCATGGCTGGGGAAGAGGGCTGGATTGCGGGGGGTGAAGGCTCTGGTTGGGGGTGCAGGCTCTGCGGAGGGGCTGGGGATGAGGGGGTTGGGGTGTGGAAGGGGGCTCAGGGCTAAGGCAGAGTATTGGGGTGTGGGGGAGATGAGGGTTCTGGCTGGGGGCTCCTCGTAGCCAGGTTTGGGTTTTTGTTAGTAGGGTTCCCTGGAGGTTGGGTTTGTGGTTTCTCTGGGTAGGGGTCTCCGGAGGTAGGTGGCCAGAATTTGCAGGAATTCATAAAAACTGGGACAAAATACCAGTGTTTTTTAAAAGTAGCATGCACACTGAGACAAATGTGCGGGGGAAAAAGCCATTCTAGTTGTTTGTTTTTTGTTTTTTTAGTTATGTGATCATCTTGGGCGCTCCTTTATGTTAAACAACTTTTTGTTATCTTGTTCATCATACTAAGGGAAATATTCATTTCAGAGGACTAAATCCAGGATATTCTGAATCTTGTTGTTTGTTCTGTGGTCTATGTAAAGAAAGAGCCTTTTAGTGCTCTCCAAAAAAGATGCCTTTTCTGTGTGGTTTCATTGTAATTCCTGTCAATGTCAACGTAAGTACGAAATCCCTAGAGTCTACATTTTGGCTTTATGTCTACCTCTTTTCTGATTTGCTTACTTTTGAAATCTCAAATTCAAACACAACTTCCTATCTCCCCCCCCCCATCTTTTTTTTTGTTCTTCTGTTCTATGACAGCTACATTGAAAGGTGGGTAGATCTTCAGCTGGCACAAATTGGCATAGCCCACTGAAGTTCTTGGAGCTGCACTGATTTATTTTTATTCTGTCACATATTAGACTTTCATTCCCCCCACCCTCCAGTCATACAGTCAATATTTCTAATGTGATCAATTTAATTTTTCTTTACAAATTAGTTCCTTGTAATTTTATTGTACTAAACACTTGGTGGCCCAGACTATAAGTAACCTTAATTTATTTATAGATAAAACATTACTAGGCCATATATATGACAAGGAAGGAAAAGATCCATCAATCAATTGTAGTCTTCATACATTCAACCTACTCCTTACTCGAATGCACTAATTTTGTTTGTATAAAGCTTTTACTATAAGGTTGTTCCCAGTGGACTGACAGGCCTTGTCTTTGAATAAGGCTCCTGAACCATAAGTATAGTAAAACTAGCAATGCTTTGTCTTGGGGAGGCAGCTGTCCTAAGAAGTTTATCTTACATCCAAAAAGGTAATTTTATCTGATTAAAAAAAACTTGCGGGATCCAAAAACTGTAAGTCAAATATCATCACATAAAACACACTGACTAAGCATTTGGCTGTAGGAGTAACTGAGATCAATATTTTTTGTTCATCTCTATTGTATAGAACAAAAACAGACATTGAATGACTTGAAAGTAGGTAACTGCATACCTAGCACACTTTTGTAATCATGTACTCCTATCGCAGTTAACTGCTTCTTCCTTCCCCCATTCCTTAATATGTCTGTCACAATCTCTTGTGTCTTGCCTTAAATTAGATTGTAAGTGTTTTGTGGCAAGGACTGTCTCTTACTATATATTTGTACATAGTCCAGCACAATGAGGCCCTGGTTGTGACTAGGGCCTTTGGGTGCTACTGTAATACAGAATATAAAATAATTCCATATTAACCAATCAGTCTTCTTGCAATTGTATTGGGGTTTGCACTCTTATGTGCAACAACAACCCCCATTCCAATCATCATATAAGTGATTTTGTAACGTGGATATAGCAAAGTTCTTGCAATAGTCGACTTGATTTGTAAGTATTCTAAATCCATTATATTGTATTTAAGACACGTGGAATAAGAATAAAAAGAAAGTTCATTGACTAACACCGTAATTGAATGAGTAATAGCATTCTTTCCCAATGGTATTTCTCTCATATAGATAAAAATATAAATAACAAGCCTCAGGATGTTCTTATTTATTGTTCTTCCTGCTTGTTGTTAATCAAGTTAGTTTACCAGAGGTTGTGTGCCTCACATTGTAGCTTCCCCCCAAGGAAGTCTACAGGTGCCACAAATTAGTGATAAAAATGGGATTCCTGGATTAGTAATCTCTGTTCATTTTTCCCTAGTCAGCGAACCAACACTGTTAAACAACATTAAGTAAGTGCACAAATCTTCGTATCAGAAAGGGCCCAATTCAGGCCAACAATTTTTAAACCCTCTTTGAAATTAATCACAAATGATTAAATCTTTATCCCTCTGTTAGTGATATTTATTAAGCACAACTCTACTTGGGGGGAGGGATAGCTCAGTGGTTTGAGTATTGGCCTGCTAAACCCAAGGTTATGAGTTCAATCTTTGAGGGGGCTATTTAAGGATCTGTGGCAAAAATCTGTCTGGGGATTAGTCCTGCCAGTTGGACTAGATGATCTCCTGAGATCCCTTCCAACCTTGATAGTCTAATATGCCAAAATAACAAAACTGAAAGCAAAAGGATTTTACACTGTGACTCAGCTTTGCGCTTCCTGTTTTAGTAATGAACTGGATTCATAACAAAGGCCAGTGTCATCCGTTGCTTGATGGGTGCATTTCCCACCTCTCTATAAATTACAGACTAGACTACATTCTTCTTGCACTTTTCCCAGGAATCTCTCTCTTGACGTCTCTCTCTTTCGTTTCTGGCACGTCCCCACCTCCCCTTTTCCCAGCTGCTCGCCTCCTGCTTCATGACTACAGGAGCGAAGGGGAACCTCCGATCCGGTCCGTGCTTTGCAAGCGCCCTGGCTGGCCCCGCGGAAGCCCCACTGCCCCGAGCTCGTCTGCAGCGGCCGGGCCCCACGGAACCCCTCGTGCCCCGAGTCAGCTCTTCGCCCCAGCCCAGCTGAGCGCCGTGGAGCCTGCGCAAGGCGGAGACTGAGGCAAGGGAGGGAGAAGATGGCGGAGGCCGAGTAAGTAAGGGGGCTGTGGCGACACTTGCCCTGGGGCTGGGCACTTGCAGTGGGAGTGGCGAGGGCGGTAAGCCGGGGGGAGATACGGACTGTGCCTTCTGGGGGATGCAGCTGGGATGGGACAGAGCCGCTGCCGAGCTGCACCCCTGACTAGGCTGGTGGTGTCTCGCTGTTAAAACCTTTCCCCCTGGAGGGAGTGACTGCAAATGCCGGGTTCAGTGGGGCGGCCCGGGGTTCCCTCTTTGGGATCCTATGTAGTGAACTCCCCCAGGCGGGAGTCAGCCCTATATTATGTGTCAGAGGGGGCCACGTCCACATCCTGGGTACGGGTCAGATGCTGCCCTCTGGGCACACAAGCCCCTTGTTGACTGGAGCAGGAATTGTAGACGTCTGTCCAAGGGCAGAATTTGGCCCTAAATGATTAATAACAATGTGCTGCTTCATATCGGGCCCGGGCCCAGTCCCAGTCACTAAAAGTTGTTGCCACCGGACAGCCGACTTCTTGGCGTATGCAGGGCCGGATGAACTCTCCTGCGGGCCTGGGGCTATTAGATTTTGTGGGGCCCCTGTATACAAGTCTTTTTCCTAATTTAAAACAAAATGACCCCAATTATGGCATCGAGGTTATTAACACTATACTAAACTCGGCTTTTAATTAACATAAAGCCATTCTGTGGTTACATTTCAGTCTTAACTTAACTATATTCTACACGTTTTAATTCAAAATAGCCTACTTCTTATCTTAGAACAGCTGTTACATTAGTTTCTTTCTGGGAGGGAGTCTGGATGCAGCAGGGGGTTGGGGTGCAGGGTCTGGGAGGGAGTTTGGTGCAGGTGGGGATTCTGACCTGGGGCAGGGGGTTGGGGTGCAGGGTCTGGGAGGGAGTTTGGTGCAGGAGGGGGCTCTGGGCTGGGGCAGAGTGTTGGGGTGCAGGAGAGGGTGAGGGGTGCAGGCTCTGGGAGGGAGTTTGGGTGCAGGAGGGGATTCTGATTTGGGGTAAGGGGTGTGAGGTACAAGCTACAGTCGGGAGGCACTCACCACAGGTGGCTCCCAGCCATTGGCGCAGCAGGGCTCAGGCAGGCTGCATGCCGTGGCCCCACGCCGCTCCCGGAAGCGGCCGGCTACTGGCATGTCTCTGCGTGCCCCAAAGGTGAAGGGGACAGCATGTCTCTGTGCGCTGCCCACGCCATCCTGCAGCTCCCATTGGCCAGAACTGGCGAATGGGAGCTGCAGGGATGGTGCTGGGGGCCTAGGCAGCACGCAGAGCCATCTCTCTGTCCCCCCCCTCCCCCACCTGGGGCTGCAGGGACATGCCAGCAGCCGTCCTGGGAGCAGTGTGAGGCCACGGCATGCAGGCAACCTGCCTGGGCCCTGCTGCGCCAGGGCCCCCCTTAGTCCCTGCGTTAATCCGGCCCTGGGCCTATGTGATCTTTGGACAACAGGCATCTCTCTGAAAAATCCACCACCCGCAGCAGATGCTCTAGTTGGCAGACTAATGAAGGTCTGAATTCACCTTCCCATCTAGCTACTCTCTTATCTCTGAACGTGTGCCAGAGCCACCGTGGCAGGCTGTAGTGGAAAAACTTGCACTGCTATTGTCTGTCCTGAACCTGTTCTGTTCTATGTTTTTGCTTTCCAGGGCTGTCAGGCTGGTACTTCTCATAAGCACTACATTGACTTAAAAAAAAAAAAAAAAAAAACAGAAAAAAAAGCCTTCAAATTAATCCAAAATGATTCAGAGTCTCCTTCCAAATGAATGGGACTTGCAAGGCCAGGAATCAGTAAGGAGCAGGACAGGGAAAGCTGCATAATTATTGGTGCGGTGCCTGAGTGGTTAACGTGCTTGACTGCAATCCCAAAGGTTGTCTGGGATTGCAGTCAAGCACCTTAACCACTTGATCTCACACTGAAAGGCCACTTCCAGTTCACTCAGCTGCAAACTGAGTACCTGATCCATTGGGTTAGGGCAGTCAAAGTCAGTCTGATGTGAAGCTGGCCACATCACTCCCTTGTGTACTGTTGGCTAGGAAACTGACATGCCTTAACCACCTCAGCATGAGAAGCTATTGGTTTGGAGGAACTTTGACTTGGCTTTGAGGTGAAGTTCCTGGATTTTAATGTCATGAGAGAAACTTAGTCCTTGTCTACATTAGAAAACTCCCTCGGTGTCAGAATGGTAGCTTTTCATTTCCCGGTTCTCATCACCTGGTGCTAGATTTTTAGTTTAAGAAACTCAGTCTTCTTTTCCACTCCACCATGTTCTGCATAACATCTATATATTGCATAAGAATAGTTTATTTGTGGGATTCACACAAATGAGCCTTATTGATTAGCTCAACTGGTAAACTTTGGAGCAGTTTCAGGATGCTTTTCCTATTCGAGACATTGCAGTGACTGGAAAAAAATCTCCGGTAATAATTTAACTATTGTACATGACTCCCAAAGCCTTCATGTGGCACAGTTTCCCCTCACTAAAAGTTTGAGTTGAAGTGGTGTGCCACAGAAGGGATAAACTGGAGCCGAGCCTGTCTTGTAAAGGTGCCAGCTCTGTAGCTTTCCTGCGTTGTTACAGCTTTGAATATCCATTTTCAAGAGGTGATGGCACAGCAATGTTGTAGGGTCAAATTGTAAACTGTGGTGGCGTTATTCAGACCTGGATGGAAGCTTTGGATAAAATGTAACTGATTTCGATTTATGTGTGTATATATAGGCACACACTCTTCCCACACCCACAGCTGTAACTTCCCTCAGAAATCTTAATCTCCACAATTAATACAGGAGGCACAGTAATAATACATTGCAAAAACATAGGATCTTGGTGCTTTTTAAAGATTGGTCAGTTGTTGTCCCTTATTTATAGGTGGGGAAACTGAGGAACAGAGGTAAATTGATTCCCCTTAAAATCACACAGCAAATCAATGGCAGAACCAGGAGTAGAACCTAGGAGTCCTGTGTCCTCGTTGCCTGCTCTTAACCAATACACTATGCTGCTAATTCAAGGCAAAGCACTCGCTGCTGTAAACATGTTCATACTCTATAAGTGCCTCTGCACTAGGGAATTCCTTTCCTTGCTCTGAGCGGTCAAGGTGACACTGGTAAAAATGTTTGGTCCACAGCAGAGTTTGCCCGGTTAATAGCACCACTGCAACTGCACTGTTGCTGTAAAACAAGTACTTTCCTGCCATGGTCAGGAAATTTCCTGCCTGTGATTGGTTGATGAATGTTGCCAGTTGTTTCATAAATCATTGTCTGCTGAATTATTTTAATATTGTGTATGCTGGCATCATTAAACTCCATTCATACAACTGCCAATATGTTTTCTCTAGTAACTAATAATAATAATACCAAGCTGTATATAACATTTTTCAGTAGTAGGTCTCAAAGCACTTACAAAGGAGATCAGTATCATTATCCCCATTGTACAGACGAGGAAACCGAGGCACAGGTAGGTGAAGTGACTTGCCATTAGCAGGTGAGGTGATTTTGGGCAGAGCCAAGAATAGAAGCCAGATCTCCAGAGGCCCAGTCCAGAGTTCTACATAGAAGGCCACACTGCTCCCCAGTGTTGACCCTTCAATCCCATGCTTTTTATTTTACTTATTTAAGCAATGACATATTCTTACTTGGAACTTCAGTGCTTGCGCTAGAGGTCCATGGCTTATCCCACTAATCAGATTTGATAATGTTTTGCTGCTGCTCTTGCTGTCTTCTCATTTTGTATGATGCTCATTACCTTGCCCTGCTCTCCTCTTTCCCCCTCTTTAGGGGCAAGAGTGACATGACATTGCAGTGGCAGCAGTGAGATAAGCAGCAGTGAGATTAAAAAAAAAGTCTTAGTCATTTAAGATGTTGCTGCTCCATTCTAGATAATTAAAAATGTAATGGAGATTTATCATCTGCACCATCATGCCAGAGCTGCATCAGATCTGGTAGTGTTGTAAATTTCGCACTAGTGTAAATGACACACAAGATGCAGGAGGACAGAAAAGTAGGCCCTCTGTAGCCACAATAAGGGCAGCATTTCAAGTTCACAAACCTGGGTCGCACACTTAACTACTCACAAGTGTAGTCCTATTGGAGTCATTACGACTGTCCACATGAGTAAAGTGATGCCCAAATCCACAAGAATGAAGTTCTATATGGATAGGGCAACACTTTTTTATGTGGCCTCTTTGATAACCCTCTCAAAAAGTATGGATTTCTGCCTAGCCGTGGATCATAAGACAGTATTGAAGACTGTATGGTGTGCTCTAGGAATGGAATGGGGAAACAAGGAGTCTTCTACTTCTCTCTGGGTATGTCTACACTACAGGATTAATCCGAATTTAGATAATTCGAATTTGGGAAACAGGTTGTATAAATTCGATTGTGCGCGGCCACACTAAGCACATTAATTTGGTTTTTAACCACATTAATTCGGTGGTGTGCGGCCACACTACCCCATTACTTTAACCACAGTAATTCGGTGGTGTGCGGCCACACTAACCCTAATTCGAATTAACAAAATCGATTTAAGCGCTACTCCACTCGTCGAGGTGGAGTACAGAAATCGATTTTAAGTGCCCTTTAATTCGAATTAACTGGCTCTGTAGTATGGACGGGTGAAGGGTTAATTCGGATTAACGCACCTAAATCCGAATTAAAGTCGTAGTGTAGACCAGGCCTCTCTATCCATGTGGCCATGAGTAAGCATTATCGAAAGCTGCCACTAGTTGGCCGTTTCAAATTTAAAAACAATGTTTGTTTTCTTTAAAGTTCCAGGTGGCTAAGCTGTCCATGTCCTACATGAATGGGATGTTGAATCCACGTAAACCAATAGTTTTGATAGATGGTTTTAAAAAAGATGCTTGGGAAGGAAATTCTGCCATTCATATCTAGTGTGTACAGAGCTGGGCATGTATGTATGGAGTGCTCTGATGCTGATGGGAAGGTGGAGTTTCTTTACCTCTTTGCACTGTTTGTTTTGTAGCTGAGAATCATTTTTCTTAACACACTATTACAATTTTAATGAGATCTGTGTTGCCTTCATGAGAATTTCTGTGTAATGGGATTGTGTGCCCTTCTAGCTTTCAAAGACTCACCTTCTCAATTATTACAAAGGTTGTTGGCTCCACCCTGCAAATTTTTTCTCAAATTTCATTTCCCCACTCTACACTGTGAGCTTTTTACTGGCTTCTTTTGAAGATCAAAGAAGTGTGTAACTCCACAGCTGCCTTGAAACTAGATGCCTCATTCTCTTCTCAGCCACCTACACCCTGGTACCACTTCATTGTCTTCTTTCACATCAGAGTCATCACAAACTCAGTTTTCTCTGAAGCAAGCACCTCCTCCTTAGTAGTTTTTATTTCCTGTTCTTGCGCCATATGGTCCCACATCATCAGCCATGCTGTCCCACTCATTCTCGGGTTTGGTTTTTCTCCCGCTCCAAAGTATGTAAAGCTGTTGCTAAAACTTTATTTTTAGCAGCATATTCATCAGCTTAACGCATGATTGTAGACAGAACTGCAATAGCATTGTTGCACAAAGAGCTAGTTCTGTTGAGGTTTGCCTTCTTCAGAAGGTAAATTCTATCTTCTGCAAATTCAGAAAAACGTGACTTATTTTTAAATATATTTTTTAACAGATGAAAATACATTTTTGTAAAAATGTCTTCTTTTTTTTTTCAGCCGTGTCTATTGTTTTCACAGAGTTTGGGGTACATCCTAAATTGGGAGAGTTAAAGTACCGACTACAAGTGGATCCTCCCCAGTCACACTGGTGGATATTGCCTCTTGCGTCATGGCAGAAAGCGATGCAGCACCAACCATATCAAAAAAGTGTGGTCCATACATTTCATCTATAACCAGTCATGGCATAAACTTGGTGATTCGTGGATTAGTGCTGTTTTTTATTGGCGTGTTTCTTGCATTAGTATTAAACTTGCTACAGATTCAGAGAAATGTCACGCTCTTTCCACCAGATGTGATCACAAGCATCTTCTCTTCAGCTTGGTGGGTACCACCTTGCTGTGGCACAGCCTCAGGTAATGTCAGAAGGTGCCAACTGTCTGTATGTTTTGTGGGGGTGGGGGTGGTAGTGAGGAAATTAAAAATCCTTCATTAATAGAAAAATATGGAAGATTTAAAATTTTGGATCTAGTCCTGCTCCCTTTCCCATCTATCTGTTTCCTCTCCAAAAGATCTTTGTACATTTTTACAGAAGTTGTAGGGTGAATCATAGAATCGTAGAAATGTGGGACTGGAAAGGACCTTGATAGGTCATCTAGTCCAGTCCCCTGCACTGAGGCAGGACTAAATATTAGCCCTGCTGTGCTGAATTCTTGAGTCGGAAGATTATGCTCAGTTTTCAGGATTAGGAGTACAGAGTTTGGCAATCCACTGAAATCCATAGGATTGTAACCTTGAGGCTAGATTACTGCCGTGCCCTTTGTGGGCAACTCTGGAAAGGAACCTGGAGATCCCAGATTTTGCAGCATGGAGTAGTTTGCCTTGTCTGGTGTAAGCCGTAATGAGAGTATGCCATTTTTGCCCCAGCTTCCTGTTTGCTTCAGAGTGCGGGTCAAGGTGCAGGTTTAGACCTGTAAAGCTCCACGTGGTCTGGAACGCAGCTGTCCCCCTATATCCTAAGGAGATATAGGCACAAGGTGCTGCTTTGCTCTTGTCAGTGGTACATTGTTAACAATGGATGTCCTCTGAAATCTGCTCCCTTTAAAAGTCTGACAGAGTTTGGGCTTCAGAACACAGTGTAAGACCTTTCCCATGGGTCAATATAACACTTTACCAGTGGATTATTCTGAGCAGCTGGATGGGGGAATTCTATTATAAGTAGACCTTTATTTTAAAGACAGTATCTTCCTTGAGCTTGATTTTAATGAGAGTGAGGAGTCCATTTGCCTCTTTGGGTGGTAATACAAATCAGTAAACTTACCTTTGGTCTATTGGGCACTTCTGGCATCAAGGTTTTGCTAAAGGTAATTTTTAAATCAAATATTTTATCTAATTACTTTTCTTTTGGTATGGTGTTGAATCATTTCACCACAGATTTCATAAAAGAGCCTGATCTGAGAGGAAACTGTCCAAATAGCTGTCTCAATATGTCAGTTTTGTTCTCTCTGTCTTTGGAATATTTTGGTCACAGTTATATACTTGTTGTATCTGTAAGTTGCCTGTCTAACATAGCTCTTATTCTCTAATCTTGCTGCTATGGTACCCTGTATTTGCTGCATATTTTTTTATGCTTAAATTGGTTGTCTTGACATAGAGCTCATGAGGGGTTTGATTTACTGATAGAGCAGTTTGATTTGGCCATCTCGAAGGATTTTTTCTTTCCTATTTGTAGTGGGGCTCAGCTATCCAACAACATATCTATTATGTCTTTTTACAGTAAGTGATCTCAGGTTTGTTTTGTAAAAGAGAATACATGGATGTAGCTCTGTAAAATTATCTGTTAGTAAGATGGGCTTTTTGTGTCCATGGGACCAGGGGAGAGGGGAAACAGGCTCTGAAAAGATTTAAAGGGTCAGCGGTATGCCTACTGTTCTCATTTAGTTACACACCATGCTCCCACACTATTTTCAGTGCACAGTCTACTTCAGTTGTTTCTACCTAAAGGATTTGTTCTGGGGGTTGAAATGACAGTGTCCCATTTGCAATAGTGTCTCTCTCTTAGCAAGCAATGGAGACCATTACATACCTACAAACTCTTTACCAGGAAACTCTAAGGTTCAGGCTTTGTCACAGTCTTGAGGTGACAAGCTGAGCTTCTATGCGGAAATTGACTTACAAGGTTGCATGTTCTTAGTCGATTTCTTCCAGCTTTAAATGCTACAGTATCTCTTTGTAGGAATGTTTCACAATTCTTCCTCTCCTGCTCTTGTCTGTCTAGCATACAAGTGCTACCTGAGGGAATAGTGTTTGCAACCTACTCAAGGCCATCTGCTGGATAACTCATGTGTTGTTCTGCTACCCATGCCTACACAATCTAATTGACATTAATATGTCTCTGGGGTATGACTTCCCCCTCTCCATCACCCCCAGTAAACAGATTTGCAAAACCACAATATTTGTAATTCTTTGACGGACCCCCTAGGCATTAGGCCTAGTTTACTCATCCTAAAGACACAAATGAAGAGAGATTTTTCATAGCCATCCATCAGTGCTATTTGCGGAGACTTTTTTCATCTACCGCTGTTAGCTATCAGTTGGGCCCCACGTCCTCAGCTAGAATGCTGGTTACATGGCAATTTCTGATGCTGCTTCACTGGTGATTTTTCATTTATTTCTTAAACCCTGTAGATCAGGTTCCTCTCTGGCATGTGGAAAACATCTCCTGTGAGATGCATCCAACCTACCACCAGAATAGGTGTTAGAATTCAAAGCTGCCTCCTGAGCTCCTGCTTCTTACATACTAAAGCAGTGTAACATTAAACTTTCACGTGTGCCTCTTAGCTGGGGTGAGAATTGTCTTTATAGGTGGAACTACGGTATAGTGAGTGTTTAAGGAAAAGTATTGACAATGTTTAGAAAATCCCACTTTTAGTTTATTTTCACCCCTTCCTGGTATTATGCATCAGTGCAAAGCTGTTTTTATATATATATATATATATATATATATATATATATATACACACATACATATGGAGATACACCTATCTCATAGAGCTGGAAGGGACCCCGAAAGGTCATTGAGTCCAGCCCCCTGCCTTCACTAGCAGGACCAAGTACTGATTTTGCCCCAGATCCCTAAGTGCCCCCCCTCAAGGATTGAACTCACAACCCTGGGTTTAGCAGGCCAATGCTCAAACCACTGAGCTATTCCTCCTTGTGGCTGAAGATGCTGCAAGGGAATTTTAAATTACAAACATATAGCTGTTTTCATTGAATTTTAAGGCAGCCGTTTAATAATAACTTATGTTTTGGGCCTAAACTATCTGAAATGCCTTCCTTTTTATTTTTAAATCTTGACAGTGTTTGAAAAATATTTGTTTTTTATGGTTGCAGAACCACCTTGGTCTAGATTGTCTCTAGTGCAGCTAAGTATTGCAGATGCTTTAATTGTTAATTTTTCTTTCATATTTCCACAGCTGTGATTGGGTTGTTGTATCCCTGCATGGACAGACATCTGGGAGAGCCACATAAATTTAAGAGAGAATGGTCCAGTGTAATGCGATGTGTAGCAGTCTTTGTGGGTATCAATCATGCTAGTGCTGTATCCTTCTATGTGGTAATGAAGTTTGCAGTAACAAATTCTGGTGAACCAAAGGTTAAATAGCTGCTCACAATGTAACTGTTTCTAAAATATGATGTATAAAGTTTTAAAAGGACATACAGAGTGTAGCTTAGAGTTAAAACTGTTATAGAATGTCAGTAGCTGCACTAGTTAATGAAGGTTATGCATATAAGTTTCTAGAAATACCACTTAAACTGAAATCTCTCACCTTGTTTTTTTAAATCTATGTTTTTGTCTTTTTTAGAGTTATTCAAGTACATATGGGAAAGGAGTTTATGCTCTGAGAAATTTTTAAGGTTGCTCTTCTTGCACTTATTGTAAACTCAATACAGTTACAGTTTTAAAGACCAAACTTCACATGTGCAGCAGCATCAATGAAGAGTGTGCACTTTGCTAAGCACGGGAAAAAATTGGTAGGAAAAAAATACTCGGCATTGGTTATTCATGGATCTCAAAGCATTTTACAAAAGCGAATAAGCATTATTATCCCTATTTTACAGACAGGGGACTGAGATGCAGATAGGCTAAGTGACTTGCCTTAGAATATGCAGAAAGGAGAGAAGTTACAAGTGAATCGATGTGGCATGATGTGAAATACATCATTTTTCTGCCGAATTCTCAAAAATCCATGTACACCTTTACACTAGACTAATACTAGCCCCAGATGAAGGAGTCATGATTCCCAGAAGCCCATTGGACAAAAACATGTCCTCAGAATGGACTGTGATGCCTCACTGGCAACCCATGAGCAGTTGTGCTTTGTGTCATCATGTATAGGATCTCCCTCTCCAAGTTAAGGCAATTGACTAGTCTACCAAACTCAAACTCAAAGATAAGTAATTAAAAGAAAAATTTAAGAATCTCTAGAAGGCTCATTCTTTCATCTTTAGCATCAGGTCCCAGACTATGGTCTGCAGAGAATTGCTGGTGATGTGGTGCAAACTCCCTGGCCATGTGGTGCTGGCTCTCTTTTTTGTTTCCCGCTGAAAGAGAACCAGAAGAGAGAGAATGGATGAAATGAGATGCCAAAGGAAGGCATGGAAAATGGGCTGCATTCCCATTCAAGTGGCCTTACCTTTGGATGGATATTGTTCTTTTCCCACAATACCCCATCCTATCTAGTGTGGCCAGAAAAGTTGGAGCTATCAAAGCTAGGGTCTGCTAATATCCTCTTGCGGGCCTCAGGTCTCCCATATTTGAAGACGTGTCCATCTGGTCTCGTGGATGCCACCAACTTCTGACCACCCCCTGACTGTGGGCACATTCAGATACAGGACCCTAAGAAATTCTGACATGTTTCTTGAAAATTGAGTGGTGAACTCCTCATGAGTCAGATTACTTTCAGCAAACACCTCTGCAGTTTGCTATCAGCCATTCCACATTTTTAAGGAAGCAATGCCTCTTCCATAGCTATTATTAGTGTAGCAACTCTACTTTCTTCTAAGTGGCTTCCTGAAAAGCCTGAGCTTCAGTTCATCTCACTTTAAAATAACAGCATTTGATCTGACTTTGATCCTTGTGTCTGTCACTCTCTCTCTGTTACCGTCCAGTTTACCCCATTTCTTGTTAGACTACTCCACTAGATCTTTCTCCAGGCCGGTGGATTCCTGTGGTTGAGACCAGGACAACATTTTAACCTATACATTTGTCATCCCCTAAATCTAAGTTTAGGCTTATGAATGTTAACGATCTCTCTTTAACGGTACTTTCTTACAGAGATGTTGAGAAAATGAATTAGTTGATATTTGTAAAGTGTTTTGAAGAGGGCAAAGTGCTACAAAAGTGTCTAGGATTATTGATTTATCATATTTGCATAGCTGTAGCTTTTTAAAAAGCAAACAAGATTCTGAATAAATGTTTTACTGGATAAAAATACTATTCTAATTAAAAACATGTAATAGTTATTGAAATTAAATATATTTTGTTTTTCCAAATGACCTTATTTCAGTAGGCAACAACATAAGATATATGGCATTTTGGCAATTTAATGTTAGATTTAAGGCTTTAACCTTAGGATATTAAAGGAGCAACAGGTGAGGCTGGACTGTTGTTGGTACTTCTTCATCTGAACAGTAATATTTTTATAGTAAATCTGTCAAAAAATCTGGTATTCTGCTTAATTTCTGTCTAGTCTCCTTGTACTTTAAAACACTTGTACAGTTTGTAGCAAAGTCCTGAGACAACATTGTGGGTTTAAAAAAATACTGTAAACATAAAATAACATTTTAAGTAAATATTTTTATTAACACAGATAAAATAATACTTTAAAATTATTATTATAATATTCTTATACCATTTAGTTGTATTAAATGAAGAGAGCCGTGTTTATGCAAGAGCTAGGTGTTGTTATTATGTAGGACTGTGTTATTTTTCAGGTCAAAAGTTAGTTAATGAAGTAAATATTATTGAACTTCACCTGAAGTTGGCACTTTAAAACTGATCCTTAACAAATGACCACAGAAAGTGGATTTTGCCAACAACATACAGTTGTCTCTTACACTAGCAGCTCTTTCAATTGGACTATGGTGGACCTTTGATAGATCACGAAGTGGCTTTGGTCTTGGAATAGGAATTGCTTTTCTGGCCACCTTGGTATCACAGCTTCTGGTCTACAATGGGGTTTACCAGTGAGTCTTTATTTTTCTTCTGGTTAAGTGGTGTTCATGTTAGATTAGTAAACAAGAACATTGAAGGTAGATCTGACTTAACTTGAGCCCTGAACTTGCTAAGACTTAAACACATGTGTAACTTTACTTTAATTGGACTATTCATGTGAGTGCTTATGTGTGTGTAAGACCGAGATTTTGGTTTGGAGTTCTAAAACTGCTACATTACCAACAGCAAAACAACCTGGATCAAACAGAGAAAGGATATTAGAATAAATGGATGGATGGGTAGTAAATTTGATATTTGCAGTAAGAAATCAAACTTTCTACTACAAGTGTGTGTATCTTTAGGCTAATCTATTCCCATATCCAGATTTCTCAGTATGTCTATCTCTGTGCCTAACTTTAAAAGTATACGTTTTTTTGAAGAAAGGATTGTGCACAGGGTTAAGTTCAGTGTTGGCAGTAAACAGATAATCATGCAAACTTGTATTCCTTTCTAGATATACATCTCCAGATTTCCTTTATGTTCGTTCCTGGTTACCATGTATATTTTTTGCTGGTGGCATTACTGTGGGGAACATTGGTAGGCAGCTGGCAATGGTAAGTTAGGGTTTATTTTATTTTTGGGGGGGTATGGAGCTTGTATTGTCTGGTTTTAAAAGATTCTTTCCTAATAAACACCAACCAGTTATTCAAATTGCAAATGTGGACTAAGATGGGAGTCCAGAGACAGTGCTTTTCAGTTTGGTCAGCATGTCCCTGCCACCAGCAGACGTTCTGTCCGCTGCTGAGTGCCCCACATATCCTAAAGGGTTCCCCATTTCATTGTGTTCATTCCATTCTGTACGCGCACAAGCCTTTGCAGGATTAAGGCCTAAATAAGAACACCATGTTTGGGGGGAGGAAAGTTGCATAAGCTCCAAGTTAATAGCTAATGTACTTAGGCTCTCTTTTGCTATGCAAGGAGGCACAGAATGCTAGCACTCTGTGCATAGATTGTGTACAAAATGCTTACTACAGAACTGTAGTTGGTGAGGGTACCCTGAAAAGCATGGGAGTTTGGGGGCCTGAACTGATCTGGGGGAAAGTGTGGGTAGAGCTGTTGTGTCAGTTGCTATGTAGATCCCTCCCTTTCACAGCTGTCTAACTCAGAACTTCATTGTAAATTATAAATTCTTGTTCTCAAATAATTTTCACTCTCTTTGGTTGTTTTGCAGTATGAATGCAAAGTCATTGCAGAAAAATCTCACCAGGACTGAGGAAAAGCAAACTACATCTTTTATACAGGAAAATATATGACAAACAACTGTCGGAAGAACATGCTATAAGGAACATTTTGACTATAAAATTGCCAAAATGCAGTTCCCCCCACCCTCCCCCTTGAATGGTACACGTTATTGCAATCTGTGATTGCTGCTTCTGTAAGTCAGTTAGAAACCTTAGTGTCTGATTCCTGTGAAGTAACACTCGTATGCAATACATTTGACAATATTTGTTCATAGACAGGATTGTTTTTTTGCCAATCTAAACTAGGTTTACCATCTTTTTCCACAATGTTTCAGTGCCAAACAGACCTTTGAGTTACTGTACTGTAGCTGAAAATTCTGCGTCAGTTTTTCTAGGCAATTTGGGGAATTGAAGTTTTTGATCGTTTAGCAAAAGCCAGAGAATTCAGAATTAAGGCTGAAGATATTGCAACTCATGCTGGTAGATAGTCATAAACATGTCTTTTCCCCTGAACAGAATCACAGCCTTGCTACTGATTAATGAAGACACGCATCACCTAGGGCCAGATTCTGACACTACTAGTCATGCTGAGTAATACCTTACTCTACAAGTAGTCTGGCTGAAGTCTGTGGGACTAGTGGGTGGGGGAAGGTTCTATTTTAGGTACTTGTATGGCCCCATTTGTGTAATATCTAAGTGTCTCAAACTCTATAATGTATTTATCCTCACTACCCCCACTGTGAGATAGGGAAGCACTGCAATCCTCATTTTATAGATGGGGAACTGAGGCACAGAGAGGCTAAATTTCTTGCCCAAGGTTCACACAGGAAATCTGTGGCAGAGCAGGGACTTGATCCCAGGTCTTCCAAGACAGAGGTTTTTGCACTAACCACTTCTCTTTCTGTCTGTGTGTGTGTTGGAATCTGGCCTATATTTTGGGGCTTACCCCCAGTTTCCCTTTTTGGCTTTGCAATTCCCCCTTCAGAGTATAGGTCAAACTCACTAGCTTCAAATAGACACCCACCTGATTGATTTAAGTTGACTTCTGCCTGATTATGCCAGCAGTGAATTAGGCCGGGAACGTCCCCACCTCTTGTTTCTTGACTTCCATCACTGTCTTGATGTTGTTTAAGCAAGCTCTTTTTTTGCATTTTAATTATTATTATTTTTAATCTTCCATGAAAGATTTTTAAAACACGTTACAGTCACATAAGGAGACTGAAGTTGGTCCAAAGAACAAATACATGTTTAGATAAGTTTTATAATGTCTATGTATGTATTGTACATGAAGCCTGATATAGGCAATTTTTTTTCAGTCTTGTGTGCTTATATCTGAAGTCTATAACATATGTGGTGAAATGCCTCCAATAGCATGTAACAACAATAAGAGTCACCAGAAGGAAAAACTTTTGCGTGGACGCAGCTTTTAAAATTTTTAAATAAGCAAATGATATTTGGGGATCTCAGTTCAGCAGCTCCACAGTTTTTCATTGGCTTATTACAGCTCCATGACATTTCAGTGCCTCATGCACATTTTCACATATTGGTCACAATTCAGGAAAGCACTTAAGCAGGCTCTTTCCTTTAAGCTAACCTTAAGCATATGCTTAAGTGCACTCCTGTTTAGGGATGTTTCTCCTCCATCAGGGTCATAATAAATAATGCAACCTTGGATGTTACATAAATGAAGGTTGTAATTCCATTTTCAGGTTCTGGCATTTCACAAGGAACCTGCTGATATATTTTAAATTTATTTTTTTCCCCATAACATTTCGCCTGATCTGCATTCCTTACTCAGGCAAGTGATTTCAGTTGGACTGCCTGATCAGATCCTCAGCATGGTTGTCTTCATAAAAAGTCAATGATTGGCATAAAAGCGGAGATATTGATCATAATTTTTACAATAGCTGTAGGGAAATAATGCGATACCTCATTCCACGGCTTTAATGTTGACCACTGTGTGTGTTTAAAACTGGAGGTAAGTCATTTCTTATTTGCTTAGTAATAAGTTCTTCTATCTATTGGTTTACATACCTATAGAAAACAGGACGTGTATTCAAATGTACAGTAAAAATCCTTGTGAAAAGTGGTTACTGTTCATTTGTGGCACCCACTTTGCAACATTTTAAAATCACATTCATTTAAAAATGATTGGAATATACTGTCAGCTAACTTTAAGCCGATTGTGCAAAATGCACTTGGGTGGTCTCCTTTATTATAGAGCTGTTATTTTTTTAATTCTTATTTAACTAAAATAAATTTGCTGCCGGACTAAAACCTTGTATGCCAAATTTTCAAACTGCATTATAATTTTATGGCTGGAATACTCAGAACCTGAAAAAAGAGGTACATAATGGGAATGCTGACACAGCCTTAACTATAGTGGTGTGAACATGCTGCTATTGTATAGTGTGTAATTATAATATTTAGACTGTCTTCAAAATGTTCAGTATAGAATGAATAAGGTATATTTTAGATACAACTTTATAAGCACTATAAACTCTTCACTAACTATGAGTTGTAAAGTCTATGCTGGTTAGGTTACTTCTGCTGTTAAAAGCAAAATATGTATTAAATATAATTACAATATTTTGTGACAGGTTTATTTTTTTAAGTAGTAATCATTCATAATTATACTGAACATCTCCACAAGTGTTTCACATGCTAATTTTAGCTGTAGAGTGGCATGATGGTTTCACAATCCCCCTGTTTAAAACTACTAGATTAAAAACAGGATTACTAAATAAGGAGTGAGACTTAAATCAACAGTGATTCTAACAAAACTTTGGTACTGAACTGCCTTTAAAATTCTGACATTTTAAATCTGAAAGCTGGAAGGGGAATACCAGGGCTGGATGGGAGAATATATACAAATGACCAATTTTATCTCAAACTGCGTAAAACAGAAAATAAAGATTTTGGAATAAATGGTAATTTAAACATGGAAAAGAGGTTAATTGTGGGGTGTCCCAAGAATCCATAACAGGACCTGTGTTGTATAACTTATTTATCAGTGGTCTGAACTGGGTGGGGTTAACAGTGAGGTGGCAACGTTAGGTAATGCAGCGTTAGTTAGGTTAATCAAGTCTAAAATTTTGAGTTGCTTCAAAGCTACCCCCTTAGCAATTCTATAGTACATATATAACTTTCATTTCATAAACAGATGTGGAGGGGCCTGGACTTGATGACTTCTTGAGGTCCTTGTTAGCCCTATATGTCTATAATTATCTAATGCACATTGGAAGGTTCAGTGTGAATTATTCATATACACTGATGGATCTTACATTAGCAGGAAAGAGAGATAGGTGTCATTGTGGGCAGTCCAGATAAAAATTTCTGGTCTATATGGTGTACTAGTCCAAAAAAACCCAACAACCCTGGGGAAAAAACAAACAAACAATCAGTCATAGGTGTATTAAGACAGATAAATATTCAGGCTGAGGCATAATAGTGTCTGTGTTCTGTTTTGGACACGACATCTCAAAAGTAATACAACAGAAATAGAAGAGGTCAAGAGCATTGTAACCAATGAAAACAAACAGCAGTATTAAATGACTTCACATCTGAACATGGGGAATTACTACACACATTTCCCTGTTGTCATAATAGGTAATACTAAGAAGTTTTGGAATGGATACGAAGCCTCATGCTGCATGGTTTAAATCAATCTTTTAAGTATTAGAGATTAGGCTGAGAGATGATGTGGGGGCAGATTTTCCCATATCTGCTTGCTCCAGCCTTCTTACAGCTTCCTCTGAAGCACCTGGTGTTGGCCACTGTCAGAGACAGAGTACAGGACTAGATGGACCTTGGGTCTGATCCAGTGTGACAATTCCTATGTTTCTATGGACTGTTATGGAATAACTCAAAGCTTTTTCCTAACACCTGTGAGTTAGTGCTTAATTTAGGCACTGAAGATTGAATGTTTACATCCCTCATTTTCTCTAATGAGATCTCGCACACCTCTGGATGATGTTATCCATATAAACATCTAAAGTGGGGGATACTAAAAGGGTTAGGATTATTTAGATTAGAGAGGAGACAGGTAAAATGTGGTACAATGGAACTATTTACAATAATGAATGTTATAAAGAACATAAATTGGGCATTTCTTTACCTCTTCTCAATGCTATAGGAAGGAATTTAAGCCAATGAAATAGCCAGGCAATACATTTCCTCATTCTGTTTCCTCCTTAAAACTCACCTCTGCCTGGATGCCTATAAATCACTGCACAATGGCTAGGCCATTGGCATACTGACACTTTTATTTATTAATATAAACCGGATTGTTTCATTGCCTATCTTGTCTTTTTCCAGGTCCATTTATTTGTTTTATACACTTATTGTCTCAACAGGTGTATAGACTGTATACTCTTTGGAGAAGGGGAGGCCTTTGTATTATAGTATCTAGCTAAATGGGTCCCAAATTCCTAATTGAGGCTTCTGGCTGCTTCTGTAACTCTGCTTTGAGTTACTGCTTTGTAACTCCTTGGCAGAAGGTAGTATTGAGGAAAAGAGCATGTAAAATTAAATTAAAGATTAGACAAATGATTAATAAGACTATCCATAGTTATGCTACACAGGGTAAAAATGTTCAATGAACAGAGCCCTCATGCTAACCCTCCAGGAGTGTTCTGGAGTCTCCAGGACTTAAAGGTTAATCTATAATTGAAGATTTTTATGTGATGAAACCTCCAGGAATACATCCAACCAAACTTGGCAACTCTGCCTCATGCTAGGTCATGCCAAACAGTTGCATGGGCTTAGGAAAAAACTCCACCCCACTCCCATAGGAAAGTTATTGCATAATTGTCCTTAACAGGGAGGTTTACACATTTCTTAGAAATATCTAGTGCTGTCCATTGTTTGAGATTGGATATTGCACTAGACCAGAGGTCGGCAACCTTTCAGAAGTGGTGTGCCGAGTCTTCATTTATTCACTCTAATTTAAGATTTCGCGTGCGAGTCATACATTTTAACGTTTTTAGAAGGTCTCTTTCTGTAAGTCTATAATATATAACTAAACTATTGTTGTATGTAAAGTAAATAAGGTTTATAAAATGTTCAAGAAGCTTCATTTAAAATTAAATTAAAATGCAGAGCCCCTGGACTGGTGG